CCCTCTGCCCTTCTATCCCTCTCGGAACTCTCGAGTTAAAACCGGCCTTTATATCACTATTTTTCTAAAACCGCTCACAAATCTATTTGGAGATCCTACTCGATGCTACTTAACCTCGGTATTGGGATGAAATCTGCTACTGAAATGACCAAATAAGTGCTTACGGGATCTCTGCTTAAAATATGAGATCTGGTTAATGAATGTTATTATATTATATAAATAGTCTCAATTTTAAACTCTCGATTGCATATGTAATTCTTATAGATAATTTAATTGCATGTATAGAGCCATGAATCTATATTATGTTTAATAAGAATAATTATTCTTATGAAAATGTTTATAAATTGGTGTATATATTTTATTTACTTGTTAATGAATTTGTTAATAATTATTTTAAATATGGGAAATATTTTTCTTATTTAGTTATAGTTATATTACAGTTATGTTATAGTTAATTAAGATAGTTAATAATGTTATTTCATTATTTATTCATTAAAAATGACTTAAAAATGACGATTAAATGATGATTAAATGATATATTTATAACGATAATATTTCATGACAAATGTTATTTATTTTAGTCATTATTTAGTACACTGACATTAAATGACGAAAAATGACCTTAAATCATCGTCATAACGTCATCTTGCTACTTATATACTCCAATAATCAAATTTGAAAAGACAGATTATGCGCAAAGTCTGTTATAAATTTCTGATGCCAACAGAGAGCCAACAGATTGCTAACAGATTCTGTAATATCTGACAATACTAGCAAACTGCCAGAAATCGGACAGAATCTGTTGACATTCTGTACCAGCAGATTGGCAGCAGAAATCGAGCAGATCCTGCTGTAGTCTGTCGTCAGATTGGCGACAGAAAGCGAGCAGGACCTGCGCAACACAATTTGATGGCAGGATCTGCTGCTAGTCTGCTGACACAGAATGTCAACAGGTTTTGTCAACAGAATGTAAGCAGAATGAGATCTCAGATGAAGTCAGTCTGCTAACATTTTTCTGATTAAATCTGTTTGCCGACATTCTGCTAACTATTTTTGCTGAGTGGGTATATAATTAGATATAATTAGATATAATTAGATATAATTATATATTCTTAAATACAATCAAGTTTTTAATGAGTCCATTTTTATAATAAATATGAAAACCTAATATATTTTTATAATATATTTATTATAGTATATTATAGTATATTTATAAGTATATTTATTTATAATACTTATATTTATATGAATCTCATATATGAAATATTAAATTTTTCATAAAATAAATGAAGTAAAAGTGTAATTATATTAAACTTAAAATTTTCGTTAAGGATCCTTTATCCTTTATGTTTGATTGAAATTATGTGTTCGTAAATTGTGTATATTCGTATATATGTATGTACGTATAAATCGTATAATATCAATTAAACTCGTAATATCTCGGAAATGTCTCTCGTTTAGATGTTATTACTTATATCTAGTTTGATGCATAATATATTATGTATAAACTTTATATTATAATTTAATGTATATCTTCCTATTTGATAAAGAAATATAGTTTTGTATAATTCAATTTGAAGTTATAAGCACTTTGATATAATTATTTCTAATTAGATATAAACTTTTTCTTCGAAAAAAATTTCAATATAATTTCAATATTTTTACATCTGCAGCGGAGACTGACGCTCTCACTTATCGCGCACTCACTTGCGATTCGTTAGGAAGCCGCGCTCGGCAATGAACAACACCATTTAATAAAACACGTAGGCTTTATTCAAACCAAATTACAATAACAATTCGGACACACGTCCATACGCCACGAATCAACGCGCCATTCATCATGTAAATAAAACTGTTGCCCTGGAGAGCGCTTCGCTTCTACTTCAAACAACGGCTCAACTCCACTCGGCCGCAGAAGACTCGCGCGGGCATAACAATAATTTTACATAATTATACATAAAATTATTAATATTTTGATATAATTATATATAATTAGATATAAAGTTTTTACCCGAAAATAATTTCAATATAATTTCAACATAATTTGATATGGAGTTATAAATATTTTGATATAATTCCATATAATTTGTAATATTAATAGATCTCACTATATATAATTATATATAATTATATCTGATATAATATAATTATATATAATTAAATATAAACTTTTTTCCCGGGAATAAAATGCAATATTTAATTTTTGAGAAATAAAAGGATGTCCGTTTAGGAAACATATGTCAATATCAGCAACTTTCGTCTATTGTTAAATAATAATTATAAAATTGAAATAATATATTCTTTATTTTTGATTATTTATAATTAATAATGTTTGTTATGTATTTATAATGTTTGTTATGTATGCTAATATTTGTTTATGTATCTTGAATTTTCAGATACCATTTGATGAAGAAACCACAGAACATCAATTGACATTAGCTATTTTAACAAAAAGGAAACTTGAATTTAAATCATTACCTGGATTTGATCCTAATCTTGATAATTTACAATATTATTATGCTCAAAAAGAAATTGATTGTGACGAAGTATATTCTGGAATATATATTGGTGACGGGTGAATATAAAAGAAAATAGTATAAAAAAAAATTAGTGATAAAATTAAATTAATCTTTGTATAATTATTTTTTATAAAGTATTACAGCAAAAAACAAGAAATATCTTGAGAAGTTAGGTATAACACATCTATTGAATGCTGCTGAAGGAAAAGGATTTGGATTTGTAAATACAGATAAGAATTATTATGCAGATACAAAGATTAAATATCTTGGTTTGCCAATTAAAGACTTACCTACCGAAGATATTAGTGAATATTTTTATATAGCAGCAAATTTTATTGCTGATGCAGTATCTATCAAAGGTAACTGAACTTTTATGTTTTCTATTAATATTACCTTCGACATCATGTATAAATAAAAATCCATTTTTTTAGGCAAAGCATTCATACATTGCATGCAAGGTATATCTCGCAGTGCTACATGTGTTCTTGCATATTTAATGATAAAGAAAAATATGTTAGCAATCGATGCTATACATTTGGTTCGTACAAATCGAGATGTTCGTCCAAATAAAGGTTTTCTTTGGCATCTAGCACAATTGGATAATCAATTACGTAAACAGCGTTTGCAATTTAATAATGCAATTTAATATCTCCAAGATATCAATATTAAAAATACTTTCTTCATTATTAAGATTGAGTAGTTCGCTGCGATCATATTGGAGTCGTGACGTCATAGGCGAAAAATGACACAATAAAATTTATTGTACTTAATTTGCAAATAAAGAAGTATTTGAACAAAACGACACTTGTGAAAGTAGACGGCTGCTACTCTTTCCTTTCCTGATAATCAATAAATAATATGAAAGGCAAGTAAAATGAAGCCTGTTCAAGCAAAAAATATACGGTTTCTTTCACAGTTGTTGAAAAATATGCTTGTACATATTACTGTGATCAAATATAAACGAGATTTTTAAATTTAAACTGCGCGGGTTCATTCTGACAAATATTTTTTTTATTAAGTTGGTAGTACTGTCTTTGACATCTATGTGAAATTTCATGTCTTTCTCTTCATTTGTTTAATAGTGAACGCTCGTTTTTGTGAATATCCAAAAGTATTTTTTTTCGATTTTTACGATGTGTGATTCTGTTGGGCAAAGAAATTATATTTTATTTTATTTGCGGAATGAAATTTCTGCTACTGAAACTACGTTCAGAATGTTGCAGAAGGCTTTTGGTGACCAGGCTTTATCAAGATCAAGAGTATTTGACTGGTATAAAATGTTGAAAGATGGTCGAGAAAGTGTAGAAAACGAATCACATCAAAGATGATCAAAAACATCAACTGATGAACAACACGTGAAGCAAATCAAGGATTTGGTGTTCCAAAATCGTCGATTAACAATTAGAGAACTTGCCGATACTGTAAACATTTCATTTGGATCAGTCCAGACCATTTTGAAAGACCATTTGTGCTTGAGAAGAGTCAAATCTCATTTGGTTCCGAAAATACTTAATTTTTTGGAAAAACAGCGTCACGTTGAAGTGTGTGAAACAATGATTTCTGACTACCAGGACAAGATGAAACGCATAACTGGAGATGCGACTTGAATCTATGCGTACGACCCGGAAACAACCGACCAATCGAGCGAATATCGTGCAAAAGGTGAGACAAGACCAAAAAGATCGCGCCAAAGTCGCTCAAAAATCAAGGTTTTGTTAACAGTTTTCTTCGATTCGTGGTGTGCATTATGAATTCCTTCCGCCAGGCCAAACTGTCAACAAGGAATATTATTTGAGTGTTATGCGTCGTTTGCGTGAAGCTATTCGCCTCAAGAAGCCAGATTTATGGGCAGACAACTCATGGTTTTTGCACCACGATAATGCGCCATCTCACACTGCACTAGTTCTTCGTGACCATTTCGCCAAAAACTCGACCCATATCGTTCCACAACCACCGTATTCACCTGATTTAGCACCGTGTGACTTCTGGCTATTCAATAAACTCAAAAGACCGCTCCGGGGACACCGTTTTGAATCGATTGAGGAGATACAAGCCGGAACGAAGAAGGTATTGAAGGCTTCCATTCCGGAAGAAGAGTGTTTCGAGGATTGGAAAAAGCGTTGGCATAAGTGTATTGCATCGGGAGGGGATTATTTTGAAGGCGACGAATTTGATTTTGAAGAATAAATAAAGATTTTTCACTCTATAACAAAAATCTCGTTTATATTTGATCACAATAGTATATAACGAAGCGCTCCTCTGCTTCGCACTACTTCGATTCCCCCGACTATCGAGGACCGCCGCTCATCAAGCGGAGTGCGACTTGTTATTGCAAACTGGTGCTTGCGTCAATTTTTCATCTTTTCACACACAATAAGATTCTCCGAAATATTTCGGAAAATCCGAGTTTGGCACATTCGCGGCTGTTTTCGTGGAACGCTCCCCACACTGCGCCGAACACCGCATCACGGAGTTAGCACGCTCCTCACACCGCACCGAATATCGCGTTTGGCAGTTAGCGCGCTATAAAGATTAAATGGCTTTGCTATATGCAAATTTAGTATCTGTTGAAGGAGTTAGGTGTCCTACTGCTCGTATTGAATTCCGAGCTTAGTTTTATAAAATCTGAGATATCTCTGCGAGATAGTTTACTATCTAGGTATAATTGTCCTCTCGAGCTTTGATGCAAAGACGTTTTTCAGATATAAGAGTGGCGTTGGGAGTGTCGCCGCTGCGGTCCGACTTGCATCCATCGAGAGGATAGGACCATCATCTCTCTGAAATACTGGTCGTGGGGATTCGAGAATATACATGTATATATGTATATTGTAACGTATGTCTATATGTATTTGGCTGAGGTAATATTTTTCGCAAAATAATTACGAATTTTCAAGACTGGTTCGTGGTCGAGCTCCGCCATGAGTTCCCTTTTTTCTTCTTTTTATAAAACTAAGATCACCAAGTATAAAGATAATAAAATGAATTATCTCCCCATATCGCATCGAATATCGCGCCAAGGAACGAATACGCTTCCCCGCGCCGCGCCGAATACCACGCCACGAACGAGTACACTCCTCGCACTGAATACCGCACCACCAAATCTTTCTTACTCCGCGATTTTCTTTACCCTGTGGAGGGAAGCCCTCCCCGAGATCGGCCAATTCGAATCCGAAATATTGCGGCCGATCTCGGATAAAAGAAACTTACTCTTCACAGAAATCACTTGTTCTCGGACGCAGCATCGCGCAAGAAAAACCGAGAGATACAGAATTCTAGATCCAAAAGGTGGTTAGAACGTACTGAAATAGCCTCAGTATGGCGAGTGTACTCGACGACGACATACTTTTCCGTTATCTCTCGGAGGAATCTATTCTAAATGGCACTGGAGTGCCCTCCAGCACAGCCGAGTACGCTCGACCGTAGAAACCTCCGCTCCGATCTCCGCTTTCTGAACACCGCCGAGGCGCATAGCCGAGAATGCTCGGTCTCAGAGCATACAAATCCTGATTACTACGTCAGAGCTCTCCCTGACAAAATACCGAACCAGGGTCTCCCTAATGTCGTTGAGTGCTCTTGACGATTACTTCCCAGTACTAGGGTACTCCCTGGCCTGGTCGGGACGCCCGACAGAACGCATTACCGCAGTCAAAGGGATATGAAGAATCGGGGGCTCCCGGTATCCGGTTGTCGGAGTGGCAGCATCCTCGAGACATACATCATCTCGCACGGAAATCAGCTATCCACTGACAGTTTGTAATAAAAACATAAACACCACTTGCACGCCTCATGCTTTATTTCGCGAAAATCAGCAAGTGTTTTTACATAAAAATTTTTTTTATTTAAATAAAATTTTATCATTTATTTTATACTGTTACTTTATAATTCTTTGTAATAAAAACGTAAATTGAGTAAAGTAATTTTGTGATATAAAAATATTTTAAAGCTAAATAATTACCACTTGGGTTAGAAAAAGTTTTTAATGGATAGAAAGATATACATATAATTTGGTTTTTATTATTTTTAAATTAAAGAAACTACTACTTGAGTTTTATTTTTTTAAAACAGTGGTTTATCAAATCTTTTATACGATTGAAATATATAATTTGACTTAAATGGACTTGTAGCTTCATGTTTGTAAGACTATAACTTGGCGCCAATTATTGATATCAAATCTTTTATATAAATTTTACACAATCATTTGAATTGGCAATATCCTATACTTGACCCCCTTTTTT